GCTCCTTGGTAACCCCGGGAATGATTAACTTTGGCATCAGGGCTCATTGGTAACCCCGGGACCATCTTACTTTGGCACCAGGGGCTCCTTGGTAACCCCAGGACCGTTTTACTTTGGCACCAGGGGCTCCTTGGTAACCCCGGGGACCGTTTTTACTTTGGCACCAGGGGCTGGAGACAAGTTGCACCAGGTTCACTAGAGATGCCTTTGTTGAGTCAGCGGCTCCATGGACACGTGTGGTCCATAAGGGATCATTTATTTTTTTTTTTTTTGGTTTTTCAAGACAGGGTTTCTCTGTGTAGCTTTGCGCCTTTCCTGGAGCTCACTTGGTAGCCCAGGCTGGCCTCGAACTCACAGAGATCCGCCTGCCTCTGCCTCCCGAGTGCTGGGATTAAAGGCGTGCGCCACCACCGCCCGGCGGGATCATTTATTTTAATTTTTAGACTTGAAAATGTTTCTATACTGAGAGGAAGTTCTGGAACTCTAAAGCCTTGCCTGTTCTCTGCTCAGCAAGGTCTGGGACACTGCTCCATGCACTGCAATTGGCAGACACACAATCACATGCCTGCTGCCCCTTGCTTTCCCCTGTAGGCCTTGAACACACCCCTTTAAAATAGCCAGGAATCATGCACCAGTATGAGGAGAGACAATGAGGTCAACTTGCCTGAGAGCTCAGGGCTGCTGCAGGTATCAGCTGCTATGTCTGGTTGGATCATATCAGCTGCTATGTCTGGTTGGATGCACTCTTTGGACCCTGGGAGAAGGCAGTCTCTCAGGTCACCAGCCCTATCTCCAGGGATCTAGATGGAATTAGCTACAGGGAGTGATTTTTTTTTTTTTTGGTTTTTAGAGACAGAATTTCTCTGTGTAGCTTTGCACCTTTCCTGGATCTCACTCTGTAGACCAGGCTGGCCTCGAACTCACAAAGATCCTCCTGGATCTTTTATGTGTCTGTCTCTGAGTTTGGGTTTGTGCACCTGAGTGTAGTGCCCATGGAGGCCAGAAGAGGGCAGCCAATGTCCAATCAACAGGTAGTTATGAGCTGCCCAGTGTGGGTGCTGAGGACCTAACTCAGTTCCTGTGGAAGGACAGTACGTGCACTTAATCATGAAGTCATTTCTCCAGCCCTAGAACTCTACTTTAAGAAAGCTCAAGACTGATTAAGTTTCTTCTTCTGCAGGGTCTCCCACTGTATTAGTCAGGGTTCTCTAGAAGGACAATATGGATAAGGTGAACACACACACACACACACACACACACACACACACACACACACACACCGGTGGGGAGGGGAGAGTGGAGCAGGGAAAGGAGAGAGAGGGGAGAGAGGATTTATTAGAGTTGCTTACAGGCTGTAGTCTGGCTAATCCAACAATGGCTGTCCCCAATGGAAAGTCCGAGAATCCAATAGTTGTTCAGTTCCCAAGGCTGAATGTCTCAGACAGTCTTCAGTACATGTTGGAATCCTAAAGAAGTAGACTCTAATAGAAGGAAGGAATGGCAGCATCAGGACAGATGAACTTGCCAGTGAGAGCAAGGGCAAGCAGGCAAAAAGCAAAAGCATCCTTCTTCCATGCCCTTTTATATGGGTTGCCACCAAAAGGTGTGGCCCAGATTTAGGGTGGGTCTTCCCACCTCAAATGACCCAATAAAGAGAAATCCCTCACAGGTGTGCTCAGCTGCTTGGGTTTAGTTCATTCCAGCTGTGGTCAAGGTGACAGCCACCACACCCACATTCCTTTTAATCGCTGTGTATTTGGACTCTGATTCAGGGCTTCCTCCCACTGCTCTCATTTAACCCCAAGGAAAATTTGTCCAAGATCTGCTCCCCGCCCCCAGGATCATCTCCAGCTCAGGGACCCAGGGACCACTCACTTCCAACCCCCACCAGGCTGAGGCAGGCCATGGCCTGGGGACTGGGGTGTTACCCAACTCTGCTCAGGAAGCATTGAGCCAGGAGGAGCACCTCTTAAAACTGCCCAAAGCTGATGTAATTCTAGCAGGTATGTCTTCCTCTATCCACTATGATCTTCAAACTGTTCCCAAGGGGAGGGCCTCAAACCACAAACGGGGGCAAGAGGCCTTCTGTCATTGGACCAGATGCAAAGCTGAGGTCTCCACACTTCCCTTTCAGCCCCTACACAAAGCAGCATTTCCTCCCTCCGGATTCCTGAGCCAGGCTTGATGGAGAAAAGGTGAGGCAGGAGGCAGGCCTAGGCACCGGAAGATTTACCTGCCCCCTGAACCTCAGTGCCTGCACCCATCCATCCTATGGAGCAGGAGCTTGGTTTATAATAAATACCAAATGGATCCTCTTTGAGGTGTGGCAAGATTCTTCCCTGCCTTGCTGATCTGAGCCACTGTGGGAAAGAAGCATTCTAGGCTGGAAAGTGCACCTTCTCCCAGAGCTCTGCACTGGAGCTTTGCCTCAGCCCTGTTGATAAAGCATAGTCTGGCCCTCGAACACAGACTAGTGTCCTGGGTCTCCCTGGGAGCCCAGGAATCTGGTGTTTTAAACATACACACACACACACACACACACACACACACACACACACACACACACACACACACACACACACCATGTTGCTGGGGCAGGGTCCCTGCATATTGAGAAGCATATCTTCAGAGATGTAGGATGTAGGATGTACTAGGTTTTGGGGGTGATGGGGCAGGTCCTTTGGTCCATGTACACTACTTTTCAGCACAGATATTTGCAGAGGGAAGGATGCTGTGGGGCCTGAGCCAGCAGGTGGGATGTTGTGGAGCTGGATTTTCACTTTGGCTTTGACCCCAACTGGAAGCAGCTGAGTCGAGGCCATTGCTTGCCAAAGTGTGCCCTGAGCTCTTCCTCTCACAGATGTCTTTGGCACCGTGTCTGCTGGCCTAGGAAAGCAAGTCTCCCAGAGCTGGAGGTCAGGTGCACAAAGGGACCACCAAAGAGGTCAGGCAGGGGGTCATACACAAACTGCTCCTCCTGCTTCCCTGACACCACAGTGGTCAGCAAAGCTAGATGCCCACACCCACTTCCTTCCTGGGACACCGGCCTGTCTGCTGCCCTCTCCTCCCCTGCCTCTCACTCATGCCTGGCCACACCCTTCCCCGCATCCTTAACCTACATTCTATAGACTTCTCATCTAAGACCAGCCTTATGTGATTTTGATCCAGGGTCTCATTATGTAGCCCTGGTTGGCCTGTAACTTTCTATGTAGAGAAAGCTGGCCTCAAATTCAGAGATCCACCTGCCTCAACTTTCCAAAAGCTGGCATTAGAGGCATGCACCACCACGTCCCCAGCTTTGCTTTTGAAAAAGTGTAACAGTTTTTCCCGAGCGAGGCTCCTGAGGAGTGGGATCATAGACGCAGAAGATGGATTGGAGGTGGTCAGGGGCCGGGAGCATGGCGTTGTTGTGGAATGGTGCAGATCTCCACTGACTGTTGTGTTAAGGGCCTGGTGGTGATTACCACACGCATGCATATTTAATTTTTCAGGTGTGCACTGAAAAGGTCAACTCCGTGTGCCATGTTTCACAGCGGTCGGTCCTTAAAAATGAGGAACAGTGGCAAGAGCAGCCATCCCATTGATCATATTCAGCTTAGGTCATTTCCTTCCTCCCGGTCTGGGCCTTTTTGCCAGGGAAGCCCCAGAAGTTGAAGATGGATGTAACATTCAAAAGAGGAAAGTACCAAGTTTCAAGTCAGGCAGTGTGTGGGGAACAGGCAGCAAGAAAAGAAGCCAGGAAAGCATGTGGTATTTCTACTCAGCTTGAAGACGCCCTGTAGACAAAGAAACCTCCGCTCCACATAGCAGCCTCCCTCAGTTGCTTAGGACCTTGGGCAGCTTCTTCAATCTCCCGAGACTGACATGGGAGGGCAGCATCTGGCTCTCAGTGGCAGAGCCTAGATGGCAGGTGTTATTCTCATCAATGTCTGAAACGGTCATCTAACCCACTTCTGCAGCATAAGAGAAAAGTGATGCCCAAAGAAGAGATTTCTCAAAGACACAGTCAGCCATTATTGTGTGTGACTTTAAGAGATCTTGGAACACTCCCGCTCCCGTCCAGAACTCTTCCTACTCCTGTAGTTAAGGCTGGAGGAACAGGTTTTGTTGAGTAAGGAGTTGAGACAGATATGTGGGCTTGGAGCTGGTGAGGACCCAGCAGGCTTCCACCTCTCTCCCTATCCCCTCTTCACTGAAGAAGGCACCACCATGCCTACACGCCCACATTCTAGAAGAAAGAGGAAGGAAAAGTGAGCAGAGCTAGGTCTATTCAAGGACACAGCCCCCAAATTATACATGGTGCTTCTCCTCATCAGACATTGGCCAGAACTTAGTCACATGGCCCCTCCCAAGCACGAGGAAAGCTGGGAGATGTCATCTTTAGCTATGTGGCCATGCTGAAGACTTAGTGCAGGACAGAGAGATCTGGAGAGAATCAGCTCTCACCCTTTGCCATGACGCAGTGACAGGTAATAGGAGAGAGTCTGCAAATTTATGAGTGGTTTTGTCATGGCGGGAGTGGCAAGAGATGATGCTGAAGAGGGAGGCAGGGTCTTGGGTACCATCCATTCTGAGGGGTTTGGAGTGTATCCTGTATGTGCTTTGAGTGCTGAAGGACTTTGCATGAGTCTGGTATAGGGATCCCCAGGGGATAGCACACAGATAGGTGGAGAGCTGAGCCTAAGGACTGAGGACAGAGGGGACCACAAAGGACAGGGCCACCACTGTACTGGAACTGGGCTCTTGGAGTGAGGATAAGGAGGGTGTCGACTGAGGACTGAACAGGGGATTGTGAAGACCTTAGCTTGTTATTATTGAGCATGGAGACAACAGAGCCCCAGATCTGAGCTCTGGAACCTTCTTTGCTAAGAGAACAATAATCTCTCTCTGTCTCTCTGTCTCTCTCTGTCTTTTTCTCTGTCTCTCTGTCTGTCTGTCTCTCTGTCTCTGTCTGTCTCTCTGTCTCTGTCTCTCTCTCTCTTTCTGACACTTGTCCTCAGACTGTTCTACGGATCGTGGTGCTGGGGATCTGGGATTACATCGAAAACAAAATAGAGGTATGACTATTTTCTATCCCCAGATCCTAGAAGCTCGGAATGTTGCCTCATCTGGAGCTCTGTCCAGCATGCATCTGACCACGGGGGTGCCACTTGGGTGGAATGGGAGGAAGTGGAGGCTTGGAGGGGGCAAATCCAGACATTTTCCAAAATGATTTTCTTTGAAACTTCCCTTGAGATTCACAAAACATACACAGTTAAAGTTGAATCCATCTGAAAAGCCTGAGAGATGTATCCGATAACAAATAAATCTACTCTAGAATTACCCAGTGGTGGCTCTGAGAAACTGTGACCTCTCTTCTTAGCCTGGGTGTCCACACTGTTTCAGGGAGATGGGGGCTGGGGTGTGTGGGGAGGTCCCTACATGTAGTGCCAGAGGTCCAGCGGCTGCCAGTGACTTTTGCAATAGGCCAAGGCCAGGTTAGGTGTAGGTATTCAGTGACAGCTACATTTTCCTCCTTTTCCTCTATGTCTGTGTTCTAGCCTCTTTGAGGCAAAACCTGGGAGCCTACACAGAGGGCCTGGCCTCGGAGAGGCCCACAAGAGGCCTGGCTGGGGCAAGCAGAGAGAAAGCCAGTGCCCAAGGCTTAATCATGTAGACTACACCTCTCCTCTCCTTGTTCTGTCCTCTTGCAGTGTTAAAGACTGCACTTGTGAGAGGTGACACACTGGCCCTGAATTCTTGCCACCCACAGATAAAGAGGCCCCTATGGCCATCAGCTCCCATCCTGTCAGTGAGGGAGTCACTTCAATCTCTGCCCAGGGTCTAGGACATGGGATGCAGGCCTCAGGTTGTCCAAACTTAGAGCTAGAGGATGGCTGAGGTCATGAGAAGTACGAAGACTGCTTGATCGTGTCTTGGAGGAAGAGGGCCCCTCAGAGGGAGTGAGATGGCAGCTACCTGGAGAACATGGCCTTCAGTAGTGGCCTTCCTGGCTGCTCTCCAGCCTGCCACACAGCCTGGTCAGGAACACCAAAGTACTCTTCTTCCTCAGGTGTTTGATGGGGCTGTGATCATCTTGTCCTTGGCCCCGATGGTGGCATCCACTGTGGCTAATGGACCCAGAAGCCCCTGGGATGCCATCAGCCTCATCATCATGTTCCGAATCTGGCGAGTGAAGAGGGTCATTGATGGTAAGTAGCCTGAGAGGGGGTCAGTGAGGAGGCAGAGGCTGTAGCTGTCACTTGAGAAAGGAAGATTCGGAGTGGTACAGTTGGTGTGGAGTGGAGGGTGTGACCCACAGCATGGAGAAAGCCAAGCCTGGCCTGCCTCTTCAGCACGGTATTCTGAACCCACCCACAGCCATGTGTCACATCATGTGTCACACTTACACATGAGTACCCTGCTCCCCATTCCCATGCAACTATTTATTTGGGGATTTTTGTCTTTTGTTTGTTTGGTTGTTTTCTGTTTTGTTTTGTTTTGTTTTGTTTTGAGACAGTCTCACTAAGTAGCCTTGGCTGGCCTGGAACTTGCTATGTAGACCAGGCTGGCCTTGAACTCACAGAGATCCACTTGTCTCTGCCTCCCAATTAAGTGCTGGGATTAAAGGTGTGGGCTGCCACACACAGCTCTGATACATGATATAGCCGAAGTTTTCCTGGTCCTGCCTGGCTCCTTCAGCCCCTGCGGTCCCACACCTGCTTGGACCCAAATAAACACACAGAGGCCTATATTATTTACAGATGATTTGGCCTAATGGATCAGGCTTCTCATTAGTTCTTACATCTTAAATTAACCCATTTCTGTAAATCTATACCTTGCCACTTGATTTGAGGATTACCAGTACCTTTACATCTTCTTTCTCATGGAGGCAGCTGGCAGTGTCTCCTCTGTTCTCTCTTTTCCCTTCCTCTCTCTCTCTAGTTAGAATGTCCCACCTAACCTTATTCTGCCTCACCATTGGCCAAACAGCTTTATTTATCAACCAATCAGAGCAACGCATATTCACACATACAGAACGGTATCACCCATCAACACGATGTATTGTGTTCCTGCAAGGCCAACCTTCACATAAGACTGGACCTCAACCCTGGAGAATAGTGTCATACAACTGGGACATGGTAAAGAGGGCAATGACACAGGGACGACCTCCAGTGTCATCTTGGGGAAATGCAGGAAGACCCAAGTCCCTGGGCTCCCAAAGGTGGTCCTCAGAGACAAAGAACATTGCAGGGAGGCCCACAGAGCTACCAGGCTGGTTTACTTCCTCTGCAAAGAGGTGGTGCAGGAGCTGCCCAGTGATTCCCAAGGACCCGCATGACCTCTCCTCATCCTGAGAGGCACCGCAAAGGACTATCGGAACACAGTCTAGAACCACTGTGACAGCTGTTAAGTTTCTTTCCAGCCCCGAGTTTTGGCTGCAGTGGTAATGCTTGACAGGTGTAAGGCAGGCAGGAGGACGTCCTGGGTCTTCTGTGAAAGGACAGCCTCTCACCCTCCCCACCTATGAAAGGAGGACCATGGTTCTTTTCCAGGCTTGGCTGTGTCTGTCACTACAATACAGCATCTTCATTGAGCTGGAATGTGGGAGATCTACTCAACTTAGGAAGGCTGGGATGGCTTGAAGAGCTCATCCAACATACTCTCCTTATTTGACAGATGGGGAAACTAAGTCAAAGGAGAGTAAAGGTCACAGTGTGAATGGTGCTCAGAACCATGACTGAAGGTCAAGACATGGACACACACACACACACACACACACACACACACACACACACACACACACACCACCTCAGTGCTTTTTTGGCTGTTTGATCCATCCCTCCTGCTCAGGTCCTGTTCTTGGTTCTGTCTGTGAGAACATCTGCTCCCCTCAGGGCAGAAACAGTGCCTCTAGATCCTGCTAGCTGTCGATGGCCGCACACCCCTCACTAGTGGAGGCTGAAAGCCCCTTTTGAACTATCTTCTCCTCTGTTCACACTTGCTAATTTTTGTTCTCACCTTGGGCATGAACTGGTCTCTGCAACAGCCCAGGCAACGGCAGTTAGGGACAGCTTGGAGGTGGGAGGCTGTAGGTGCTCATTCTATCCTTCTCAGGGATGGGGTTGGAGAGGTCTGGAATATAGTACGTTCTGAAAAACTGGAAAGGGCTGGGCTTTGAAAGGTGTGAGCCCCTAATGGGTAAAGTGCAGAGGTCGAGGTCAAGATCTGGAGTTGATTCTGAGGCTCCTGTGGATCCTGCTAAGCCCAAAGCCCCCCCCCCCAAGGGCAGAGCTTGTGGTGCTACTGTTAGCTGGGAAGTCATGGAGACCCTACACTCAGAGCCCTGGCTTTCTCCTCGGCATCTCACTGTGCATCATAGTAGGATAACCTGTGACAGAGACCCAGAATTTCACTGACTTACACAGAGCACAAGCTTACTTCTCTCTTACGGAAGCCTGCAGAGAGTGGCAGGTGTCACTCACCACCTGTAGGTAGTGACATGGCCCTTGCTCTCTACTCAGTGTACTGAATATACTTTCTACTTTGTGGCTGCGCTGCACATAACCTACTTCTCAGAGTCACCTCATGGCCCAAGATGGCTGTACCAGTGCTAACCACAACCCTCACCATAGCCAGGAAGGACAGAGGGAGAAGGAACCAGGCAAAAGGAGACCCTCCAACTAACTGGTGTCTGTCTGTCTGTCTGTCTGTCTACCTTCTGCCTACATCAGAACTAGCCTTTATTGTTGGATTATCTCCAGAAACCAAAAAGGCTGCATTTCAGTTATACCCTATGCCTGCAGGATCTGAGGTTCCCAACTCTGCCAGACTTTGTCTTATGGCCACCTGTAACTATAACAGAAGCTAGAATATAGTCATTCTTCTTAGAAGTTACACCAAAAATCCAGGGCTCTGCCACTATGGAAAAGAAAAAACTGAGTTCAGGTTGTGGCCCCTGTGTACTTTCTGGATGCTTTGGGCACCAGCCCCACCCCCACCCCACAAATTAAGTCTGGGCTTTGAAGCTGCTGCTGGCTGAATGCTGGGCTTGCCTCTCCCCAGCCCAAGTCCAGCTGCTGGCCAGCTCTTCACATGGCTCCTTCTGTCTTCCAGCCTACGTCCTGCCAGTCAAATTGGAGGTGGAGATGGTTACCCAGCAGTACGAGAAGGCCAAGGCCATCCAAGAGGAGCAGCTGGAGAGACTGACGCAAATCTGTCAGGAGCAAGGGGTAACATTTTCAGATCTACCCATCTCTGTCCAGGCCTTGCTGAGGACCCTGGAATGCCAGGATGCCAGAGCCTAGGGGCTGTGTATCACTCAGCTTCAGGTTGTGTGTGCCCCGGCCCCAGCCCAGGCTCCATTCACTGCAGATCTCAGTGAATGTGTGTTCAGGGTTTCTTTTGACTCCTCAGCAGATGAGTGTGGGAAGCTGTGGAATGTCACCACATGTCGACCCTTGGAAATATCCCCACAGGACTGTGCATGCAGTGTCTTCAAATCATTCCCTTGGGATGTCTGCCCATGAGCCAATTCTTTTTCTGTACTCCAGAAACATGGCCTTTTCGTTCTTACAAAGTGTTCTTGAGGGACTGGAAGAGCCATTGTGGACCCATCCCTCAGCACATTGTCCGGGGGGGCCCCTTGGACCATGGCAGTCCATATGGGATTCTCCTCTGGAGACAGTGGTGTGGTCCCTAAGTGACTCTCCGCTCTCGCACATTCTCTCACCAGTGTGCCCAGCCTGGCCATCAGGGGCCTGCTCTATGCTGCACTTGAGCTAGGCACCAGGAACTCCTTTCCAAATGGGATACAGGCCAGTTCCCTCCTCATGGGAGCTTTGGGTAACCGCATGTGGTGGCCAAAGCTTATGCAGAGGCAGTCTGGTGCCATGCGTGCCTCACAGGGACCCTGTAGGCCGTGGTGCGTGTGTGGGAGGTTGGCAGAGGAGCTGGCCTGAACAAAGCCATCTGGGAGAGCAGGCAGGAGGCCCAGTTTCCAGCGTGAGACTGGGGACTGAGCTGGGCTTCAGAGGCCATGCGCCTTGTGAGCTAGGAAAGGCAGCAGGAGGGTAGAGGTGGGATTGGAGGGGCTCTGGGCTGATCAAGGCATCTGGGAAGAAAGAAAGTGGCTCTGTGGAAATGTTAATTTTCCATGGATCTTTCTGGTTGCTTCTGGGGGGGTGGGTAGGAGAGGACAGGTGGGGCTAGAAAGCCAGGGTAATAGCAACACACTGGGTTTAGGCTGGGAGTCTGGGAAAGTGAGAAAGGACAGCTGGAAGTGTGACCCAAAAACTAGCTGGAAGTGGATCCGAGAGCTCTTGGTCCCCTGCACAACAGGAAAATACCGCTGCTGTGGGCAACTTGAGAGAATCACCATAGAGCTGCATGCCCCCTCCTGAATTCACAGATGCCCAACAGAGAGCACAGCCCTACCACAAGCGGCCATCAGTCACATATGTGCTTCATGGCCAGGAGGAAACTCTAATGGAAAAGTCACAGCATAGCCTGTGCCCTGTGCCACACAGGTTCGAGTCACTCCCCACATGTAGGCTCTTTCCTCGGGGTCCCAGGGAGGGAACTCCCTCGGAGTCGTACAGGAAAGAGCAATAAATAAAGAAGGTCCTTGCTAGGGAATGACATCTGGAACGAGATGAACAGAAATGAACTGTTTGAATTTAAAAAGCACCTGAAGCCTGTCATCTTAGCTAAGACTGCAGCGTGGGACAGACCACTGGGGTCCCCGTGGGCCCAGGGGGACGGTGGGGAGGTGGCCTGGTGGAATCAGGGCTCAGCTTCTCCAGACAGAGTGGGTTTAAAGGCCACTGCCCTTTAAAGCTGGAGCCCACTCCCCAGAGGCCAGGGACAGCAGTGCACGGCAGTGTGGGCCCAAGTTTGAGACAGCCACACAACAGATGCCCTGAAGGGGGTGTGTTGGCTGTGGATGTTAGGCGGGGTGTGAGGTGATCGAGAATGGCCATTAGGGACAGACTTAGTTCCAAGCCAGCCCTGTTGCTTAGTGACCTTGTGGCTTTGGACGCTGATAGAACCTTGGTTTTGTTAACCTGAAAAATGGAGGTGGTAAGACAATCCCCAAAGGGTGGTTATGAGATTTACATGCTGACTAACGGGGGCTCCCTCAGACTGCCTGCTCGCTCCCGCATATACCTGCTTTAGTAATAAGTCTGAGTAGTCAATTGCCCAGGGCACCCCCTCTTAGAGTCAGGGACAGATCTAGGTGCTCTTCTTTCCCAGCCCCCCTTGTTGGGGGCCATTCCTTATCCTGTGGTTTCTATTCGGGCTCAGTGAAAACATCGCTCAGAGCCGGTGGTGTGTGTGGTGTGTGCCTGTACTAGCACCCAGAGCAGAGGCAGGAGGATTGAGAGCTCAAAGTCAGCTTGGTCTAAGTAGTGAGTTCTCATCCTGAGCTACCTAGTGAGACCCTGTCTCAAAAAAACCAAAACAACAACAAAAACCCGAAAGAACATTGCACAGGAAGTCAGGCATGGGGCAGCCTGATTGATACCCCTGAAGAGCAGCCCCCCTTGCAGGCACTGGCCCAGACTCCTCAATAATGTAGACAGTGTTTCCAGAATCTCCAACCTGCTGTCCACCTAGCCCTGTCCCAGACCATCATTTTAGTCTTGGCCACGGCTCGAGTTCCTAGAACGTATTTAATAGGAGCCTTTTCCAGGTGGAATTCATATGTGCCTCACACAAGAAACTGATGTGTACATGTGGGGAAACACACAGGTTTCTGGTGTATTTGATTGGTTATTGACTGACTGACTGATTGCTTTTTGGAGATGGGGATTTCACTGACCTTGAACTTAAAGACCCTCCCAGCTTCACGTCCCCACCCCTCAGGGCAGCCAGTTCCAGTTTCAGTGGGGAGTCCACCTTGCTCTCTCCTTTGCATAAACTTACAGAAACATTTGCCCTGGTTTCATGCGTTTTAGTTCTCTTTTTAAAGCTGTTTTTGAGCCGTTTTAGGTTTACAGATTTCCCCCAGGCCCTAGACAGAGTCAGCCATTCTGCTGTCTTGTATTAGTTACAATGAACGAACCAGTACTGATACATCATTCCAACTACATCCCGTTCCAGGGTCCGAGGCTCATCTCAGCACTCCTGTCTCCCCGGGCTCCTCTCTGTGACGGTCTCTCTTTCCTGTCTCGATGACTTGGATGATTCTGAGGGCACTGGCTGGGTGTTTGGTAGGGGTCTCCCTGTCGAGACTTGGTGTAGTTTTTCTCTTGGTAATATCGTTTGGAAGGAAGTCTGCGGGTGTGCTGTTCTCACCAAGGGTGACAGGGACACACAGTCGGACTGATATTGGCCTGACCACCTCGCCGAGACAGTTAGGCTTCTCCACTGTAAAGATTCATGTGTTCATTGCCATGTGGCATCTCGTTTCTTACCGCAGACCACACCCAGGGTGCTTCCAGAGTCCTTCATATCTGAGAGGTCTGTGATGGTGTGGGTCCAATCTAAGATTTGGCAGGTGAGGAAGCTGAGGTCCATGGAAAAGGGAGTGTCACACAGTAGTTGGAGGGTGAGTGGAAATGCCAGTGTCTGGGCTCTCTGTAACTTGCGCGTGCGCACCCCCCCCCCCCATACACACACACACCCACACCAACCACATGAGCACTCAGGTCTGGACAGGGATTCTCTGCTTCTCTCATTCCCATCATCCCTTCTGACCACTCGACACCTTTTTATTCTTCAGAGTTCCTTGAGGAAATGGGAGCCCAGAGGATGGGGAGGACACATAGTAGTCCATTCTTGCTTCTGAGCCCTGGCCAGCTCTGAAGCTGCGACACTGTGGAGTGCTCTGATCCACAACCCTCACCTCAGCTGCGAGGGCCTCTAGCTACTGATTTGTTTTTTCCCCTGACGGGACTACAGCCAGAGTTCTAATCCCCATGATGGACACATCAGTCCCAGAAGAAGAGGCTGGTGGCTGCCCTTCAGGGAGGCAGTGTGGACCTTCTCTCTCCCTTGGTCCTGGCCATTTCAAATATCAAGGCACATTAGATTAGCGGTTCGGTCCATGTGGCAGTATATTCTTCTGAGTCATCCTACAAGCCACTTCTGAGATCTCACGCTTGTGACACCCAGGCTCTTGCTGTAATTCTGAAACACACCGCACTACCCCAGCCTGTCTGCCCTTTGACCTTCAGGTCTTGTCACAGCGCTTGGCCCAAACGAGTCCAGTCTGACCTGGCACACTTGGAGAGTTAGTGTTTGTCCTCTGTTGAGTCCCATGGGGATGAGAAGGAAGTGGAACTCTCTTTACCCAGCCACGTTCACCTTGAGATGTGGGGGAGATACTGAGGGTCTGGGGACCACTGTAGGGTGACTAGGGGACAAGCCTCTAAGGAGCCCGGTGGTACCTGTGTACCCCTTAGTACAGCCGAGACCCTGGACAAGCTTCGGTTCCCCAAAGACGCATCCGATGGATGTGCTTGTAAGAGTTGCCAGCGAGCTGGTTCCTACCTTTGCTCCACTGGCAACCAGTCATGTTCCTCCTCAACCCTGAGCACAGCTTCTTCACTGGAAAGATGGAGGCAGCAGCAGAGTTGTTATTACGTGGGTGCTGGGAGGGGCAGTTCAGTTGAATGACACCTATAGAGGCTCTTGATGGATGAGACGGTACAAATGCTCCTGAATGGACTTCCATCATGCTCATTATTTACAAGTGCACTGTCAAATACTTGATGTCTTTTGACTTCTCTTTGGGGGCACACAGGTCACGACACAGTTGCCAAACCCACAAGATGAGTTTTATAGGCTCATAATCCTCTTGCATAGTTGGAGGCACAGTCCCACTCACCAAAATCCTCCCTGTAAGAGACTGTCTCCCTGGTCAGTTTCCCCAAGAAAAAGATGAGTATTTCCACCCACGCTCCACACATGTTGAGGCAGGAAAGGCAGAGAGATAGACCACCATGTGCTCGTGTGCTAGGGCAGGCTTTGTGGGTGCAGAGGGATGGGTGTGAACTAAGGCCGTCATCCTGGCCTCCCTCTGGACCTGGTACTGAGAATCCTGAGTGAGTCTCTCAGCTCTGCACAAAGCACTCACCTTGGAGGCTGTGCCCGGAACTGATAGAATCAGCCAGAGGACAGGATAACAGGAAACAGGTTCTATACTGCTTCAACAGTGGCTCATTCTAGAGAGTTCCTTCCCTGCAGAAGTCTTCAGCCCCCACCTTTTTGGCACAATAGCCTCTGT